ACCTATTTCTGCCGCCAAGCAGTGATGTGTTCCGGTGTTGAAGGGTCCTGGTGAAATTACTGGACTTCAACTTATGTCTCAGGGTGACGGGCGCAGTGGCAGTGCCCCTCAGATCTTTGCGATTTAAAGCTCTGTGTGGTATTGCAACTGTTATGGACAGGCGTGTCGTTTACCACCAGGCGCACGACTTGTTCCTCCCGTCAGACATAGCCAGACACTTTAGCACACAACCTAGAATCCGCATTCTCTACTGTTGTGTCTGGTCAGTAGTTATGTACGGCAGCGAGGCATGGACCATTAAAAGAGAAATTACGCAGCGCCTCGACACATTCGAGATTTGGTGCTACTGCCACATGCTTCGCATCAGCTGGACGCAGAAATTCAGTAAGTCAAGTACCCGATATGATAGATACCGACTGCTTCAAAGAAAGGTTTAAGGCAAGCGACGCGCTAGTAGATGTCAAAAGTCATGGTTATGCAACATAAGGCAGTGGACCAGAGTCAAGAGGCAGCACACCTGTTTCGTATGGTCGTGGATGAGGACGAATTCCCCAAATTGACGGCCAACCTTCAGTAGTGGAGAGGCACTTTAAGAAGAAGAAGATAAGTACCAGAGCAAGGGAATTCACTTCGGGGGACGAAACACACTATCCAGAATACCCAGACCCATTTAGATAAGTTCATTTCGGTAACCTAACACAGACTCGAGTTTATTCCGAAATAACGTTTGTTCGAATGTTCATTACACCGAAAACCGAATGACAACAACAGAAACAGTTGTTCTTTCAGAATGTGTTGGATGTGTATCGCAAAGACACGTTTAGGTTAGGTTTAAAAGAAAAAACATTTTCCTCTCAAAATTACTTTCGAGGTTATGAAGATTCGAGCAAGCGTTATTTCTGGAAAATGTCATTTCGAACTTCTGATAGGTAACCGTTCATTTCTCAAATTTGATACCTTTACCTTTTGACGACCTCCATGGACGAGTGGCTTGCACACCGATTTTCATCATGTCCCGGGTTCAATCCTCGACCGGGTCAATGTAGAAAACTAACTATTCTATATTGTCTCGGCTCTGGTTGGTTGTGGTACCGTTGTTGTTTGCAAATTACATACCGCAATGCTTTGGTTGCTTTGGGATAAGAGCAACTTATGTGATGTTTTCTAATGTTTATTTATTTTTAAAAGACTTTCACAAAAAAGAAGAGGTTCTCAATTTGGTTGTTCTTTTTGTATATGTTACGCGATAACTCGGCATTTGTGAACCGATTTTGATGATTCTTTTTTTGGTGGAGACAGTGAAATGAGGTGAGTTATCAAGTAGATGTAATTGCAGGAACTCTTGAGGTCGGTTTTTTATTTATTTTGCATTCTCTCATTCTTATGTAGAGCCTGCAAGCCGTTGGGCCACCGATGTTGTGGGAATTTAAATATCCGATAGTCCGTCGTGTACGAGAATGACCTAACAGTTTTTGTTAAACCACCAATTTTCTACTTAACAGCGTTATGATTGATGTTAGTTACAACGAAGATCACTGACCTTTAATAAAAAAAAGGAGAAGAATGAGTCAAAAGTGGTTTTGTAGACATTTTTTGTCACAAAGACCTTTCAATAGCTCCCCATTAGAGGTGTTAAATTTAGTAAAACGATGTTTTTTATTTATTTTTGTTAAGAAAAAAGTTATTGTGAAAGTTGTTCTAAGAATAAGAATAGTGAACAGCTGGCCACGTCGCCCAATAGATCATATTAAGTGAAAATATAAGCCATAACAGTATCAAATGTAATAAGGCTACATCTCCAAAATGACAACTCTTCAGTAGAGCTCCTTGTGAAAGTTCGTCCAGATAAGTACTGTCACCTTACCTATTTCTGCCGCCAAGCAGTAATGTTAACATTACAGGCACATGGGACTTGTCAACTTACAATTATCTCAGGGTGACAGGCGCAGTGGCAGAGCCCCTCAGATCTTTGTTATTTTAAGCTCCGAGTGGTAGTACAACTGCTACGGACAGGCGTGTAGCTTACCTACAGTCACACGATTTGTTTGTCCCCAATAAACTAAAATAGTATAATTTTATATAATTATTTTTATAGTATAATTTCAGATCAGTTACAATAGACCTTTAGAAGAAGACCGTCGGTCGTAATCGTGTATCTTCGGATTTGTAGAGCGAAGTCTCCGTCGCACAAATGACAAAATAAGGACAAATATCACAATGGCATGAGGAACAGAGACAGTTTCAATGTTTTGATTGTTAATAGGTACTAGAAAATTCACCAGTATCGTCTTAAATGTCGTCATGAAGCTGTTAATGCAAATTCCAAGTTAAAATAACAAAATTACTACTTAGAAAAGAATTCGGTTCATTTAAATCTTAATTTGAGTGTTAATAAAATGCTTTATTTGAATATAAATAATTCGAAATCTCAGAATGTAACTTAATCTTAGTCGAACTTGTTTTTATGCTCTAGAATTATCGTCGTAATAAAAAATAACGAGATTTTGGAGATGTACTATTACCACTAACTGTAGTGTCTATTGTTAGGCTAATTTTTCTAAATAACTCGTTTTCGGTTTAGTACTTATACATCTTGAGACGTCACACATAACAATCTCGTTCTATAATGGCTTCCTTTCTTCTACATCATACGTAAGCGTATGATAAAATTCGATATACAAAGAACAACCCCTGGAGTTTCTTACTCATTCTTCTCAGAAGAATCTGCCCTACGAATGAGTTGTAGAGTTTAATCAACGTTAAAATCATCGAGCGTAATTTGTTTACCTATGACATAAATATATAGTAGAATTTATGTAAAAAATCCGCTTTTGAAACCTAAAAATATCGTCCGTGTTTCGTCTTAAGGTGGTTTTCCACCGGGAGACGTGGCGAGACGAGACGTGACGAGAATTGAAATTTCGGCGGTCTATTTCCACAAAAACCTGTCACGCGCTGTGATTGTGGATACGGTGTAGTTCGGTGAGTTTGTCTAGCGATAAACACGTGGCGAAGGTAACATGTTCCGTAAATTATTATTATCAAATATGTTAATGGAAGAAGAATCAGATGAAACCGTAGCAATCCGTTTACGTTGCAGAATTAAAATAACTCTGTGTAGGCAGCAATACGGTTCAATATTAGATCACCGAATCACATTTCAACAAATCACAAATTTCACACACACACAAACGCATATACACACTTACCTCCATTTCGTATCATACTTTACTTTTACCTTTTATTTTATTTGTATTTTATTTCACTTCGTTATAGTTGATATTAATTTTCTGTTTACAATTACAATCTTGTAAAACTGTAATGTTGAAAGTGACATTTATAATATATTTACATTGTAATGCTGCCTTTCTAAATATCATAATTATCCGGATGGGTATGAGCCTGGAGATCCGTCACACAGGTTAATTCCTAGTATGAACTCCAGTCTCAAAGGTACAAGTACATAAGTATCTAAATATTTAGGCACTTCATGTAAATTGTTTTAATACTTGATAACATTTGTAAAGAGATAATAAAGATTTTTATTATTATTGTTATTATGAACAAATATTTCAATTCTCGCCTCGCCTATCCTCGTCAATCCATATCGTTTCCACCGAAGATGAGCTAGAGGAGAATTGAAATTTGCCATACAATTTGCAATCCTGGGAGTCTATTCCCATTCACAGTCCGACATCCGTCCGAAACAATTACTGTCAAATAAGTCATACTCGACAAAGTCAAAAGACAATCTCAAGTATGAAGCTTCATTCGCATCAAGCGTCTTTTCATTTGGTCGCTTATTTCACAATAATTGTTTCGGACGGATGTCGGATCGAGTACGGGAGTAGACTCCCTGGTCTCTCCTCGTCTCACCTCGCCAGTGGAAAAGCACCTTTACTTTGTTAAATTTCAGATACGGCGTGAGGAGTGGAACAATATGACTTGCACAGTAACATCTCACGTATACAATTTTTATAAGGCCTGGTGGTGTAAGAGGAACTTAGTTTATTTAGAGCTCTAAGGAGAACAAATAAGGTCTTATAAGAATTCCAAAGTATACTAAATTTGCCTTTGCCTGTCGGCTTTATATATTTTAACAATCATTATTTAATTTTTTTTATTTTTTTTTATTTTTAATTATTCCAAATCCAATACTTACCATGTATTTGCCGAAAACGTGCAAACGTTTAACGTTCTCCTTCCCCCGAAAGATGTACCCATATCTCGTGTTCTCAAGATATCACAACTGTCAAATTTGTTGTTCCCGCCTTTTGGCTTTGGAATACCGTAGCGACATCTCTTTAAAATCGTTTAAACTAATTTGTTATTCTGTTTAATCTACTGGTAGACCATAGTGCTAAAGTTTTTAGATTATGAGTTAAGGCTTCCATCCCTGTTCCCTCTGCGTTCTTCTTACCCCACCTGACCGTAGTATGTGAATGGAGACTGGTTTTAATACAACCCACTCAACCACAAATCAACCTAAACACACTGTTACTAATTGAACTGCAAATTTGAAAGCTGTATAAATGACATTAAGTATAATTTACAATTGTGTATTTTGACAGTTTATGTTGCTATAATGTAGCTCACCAACGTGCAACATTTTCAACTGTATTGTGTAAGATACAAGAAGATTTATTTTTGATGAGAAATTTGATAGTTTATATATATGCGCACGTTGAAATCGATACTGTTTCTAAACGAATATCTCTTTCTTTTTACATTTTGAATTTATTTTCAGCAAAATTAAAGTTTATTTTAGAAATGAAACTTTTTAAGGACAGTATTGATTTCAACGTAACACGATGATTTGTAAACAATACCTATCAATTTTAGACCCCATAAATGTACATATAATATTTCTGTATCAAAGAGACATAAAATGCAAAATTATTGTCCCATTAACATAAAACTGTAAATGCCAATAAAAAAAGTTTGATTAAAATTAAATTAATTTTAATTAAAACTAAATTAAACAAATGGAATATCCTCACGTGAGTCCCGTGAGCGGCTCCCGTACTTACTTCGTCCTAAAACAAAAGAAAACAAATTATTAGACATTAATTGTAAATTCATTAAACTAAACCTTAATTAAAAATGAATTAAATAACTTTTGCAATAAAGAAACGGTACGCAACATGAGATTGTTTAATAATTATCCAAATTGGGTAGTCAGAGAATTACGATTATTCATATACTTCTGCGAGTTACTAGAAGCAATATAAGTACTCTTAATTAGAACTAGACAAGTAAATAAACACAATATTCGAAGTAGTTCAAAATTTAAGTAAAAATGTAGAGTTGACTTGTGTATGACAAAGCTCCTTAGAGGTTGAGTTTTGGCACCTTCTTGACGCTCTTGGCATAGCAACTTACGTCATCAAACATAAAGAATTTTCTTCATTAGTTGCTTTCGAAGAAAAGTGATGTAATAATAATAACGTACTGTAAAGGACGTAACTCAGATTGCTTTGAGAGAGGTACTTTTATAAGAGAAACGACGATTATTCATAAATATATCTGCATACGTAGCCTAGAATTACTAAGATGTCCGTTTGACATCAACCCTCTTTTATTTATATAATTCCAAATACAAAACCTAAGCTGCCTGCTACAGTACACACTCATAACCCCGCCGTAGGGAAACTATGTATCGCGGGTGTCATGGACACACACATAAGATAACCACACAAATTACACCCAAACTCACGAGAGAAATAAATGTAGGCCATACAAATATATCTCCCGGCCCGGGAATCGAACCCGGGACCTCTGCGTGGCAGACCAGCAGCAGTATGGTAAAATTGGTTCGGCCACGGAGGCAGTCGACGTACCACACATGTCGCACCATTGCAATGAAAGTGACTTAATAAAAATATTTAAAAACGAGTTTATGCCGTAAAACGACTTTAAAAACCATTGCTCCTAATCGCTCTCCACATGTCTATCCTTATTATTTATTTATTTAGTCAATATGGTACAATTACACATACACAAGTCACATTTATTTAAAATAATATTATCTATACAACTCTTTGTTACAGCTATCCAATTACAAATGTACACAGCTTTACAAAGAAAAAAATATATACACAGTTAATAAAAAAAGGGAATTAACGGATGAATTACGAATTAATAATATTATGAAATAATCAAAATAATTTGAAAAAAAAAACAAAACGAAAATGTTCAAAATTAAGTATTTTTAAAATCATTCATTGCAAAAATAATTCAAACAAATTAAAAAAAAAAGAAATTACAGGCGTCGAAGACATCGCAATTATGCTTGAAATTCCACTCTTGCGTCGGTATGTAATCGCAGAATTTAATGTTGAATCAGCAAAAGACAACAGGCGACCACCGTTTGTGCAAAAGTAACGGATTCGAAAATTGTCACTAAATCTTTACGCTGTTCACACTCAAAACGGCTTAATCATGATAAGGTCATCATCATAACATCTTTCTGAGCTAGTGAAAATGAAAGAGACTTGATTCTTGTTAGGTCAAATGACTAAAAAATGTTCAGTAAAAAAGTGACCTTATAACGACCAGTTTTCGTTAATTATATTTTTAAATTGTTAAATATTAAAATAATCAGAATTAATTTGGACATAAAACTGAATGTCTCATTATTATTTTCTAGGACTAACAAGGCCATTATGCTAAGTATTTCAAGAGAAATAAATTAAATTATGTAAAAATGTCACAACTTCTGAAGTTTGTTTTTAATACTATCAAGTGTAGTGACGCGCAAGCCGGGAGTATGACGGTAAGCTACACGCTTGTCCATAACAGTCGCTGTGCCACTGCGCCGGTCATCCTGAATAAATTGACAAGTCCCATGTGCCTGTAATTTCACCAGCACTTTGATCCTTCAAACCGGAACGCAGTAATGCTAACAATACATTACTGCTGCTCTACTGCCCTTAAAAAAATTGATATATTGTGTTTCTTTCTAAACACTTTCTTTCTAAAGATGCGATGTGAGTTTATTATAGTAAAGGTAAGGATTATTGTATTATATCATTATACTGCCATTTACCCTTTCAGTACTGAACAGAGACGGACGTGTCTGCCAGTATTTTATGTTTGATATTTAAAATAACTTATAACTATGACTGTGCCAACGTTGTCTCAGCGCTTTTGACCGAACAAGCTTAGGTATGTCACCAATATACAACGCTATTTCAAATATTTTGAAATAGCGCTTCCACCAAAACCACATACGACTCGATACCTTTTCGTCTCGTACACAACTCCGCATAGCACACTCGCATAGTTTCCTTTGCTTCCCTGGTACATTACTTTAAATCAAATTCTACATTGCATTATTACGGCATGAATAAAATAGAATGCAAAAAGACTGTCAAATTCTCGCTTAAGAGTTAAACTTACAATGAAACAGAGGGCTTGCTAGTTGTTTCCTAATTATTTTTATACAGGTAACCATTAATTTCTAACTACTAACTATTTGATTGTTAAATATATAAGCTTTTTAAGCTGTAATATAAAGAAATTTGTTCAAAAATATACAGGTACACATTGACTTAGTTTACGCATTGCAATTACACATTAGGTTCTAATAATAAAATGTTATAGTTGTACTATGAAGATTGTAGAATTTAGGTTCCCTTCTTAATGCTTATTTTAATACTATAATACCTTTATTTACATTTATTTTACTTATATTTGATTAAGTTATATTGAAATAAATCTATCTTTATCTTTATTCACGCGTCACCACCTTCATTGCAACAAACATAACTACTACATAATAATATTGTACAAAAAACAAATAGTAACAAAAGACAGCACAGTATGTTAATTTCGCAATGCGTGGTATCGTGAAATCAAGATGGCGGACCACCCACGGGTTAATTAAGACATTACGACGTTAACCCGCCGATACTGTGCCTGCGGCTCGCGAGGTTGGCCTGAGTAGAAAGTATTATGTAGACTACATTGTGTCTGACATAGTAACATATACAAAGAATCAATAACAATGGTCGCCATGTATCATTTTCTAATTGGTTCTAATATAAAAACATAAAAATCATCAGGGTAACGAAAAGTTGAAACTTGCGTTTAAGAAAACATTTAAATATTTGGATTTCTCTTTATTTAAAGGGTCATTTGCCGGTAATTTCACCAGCCTTTCAAAACCGGAACGCAGTAATGCTCACATTACTGCTTGGCGGCAGAAATAGGCAAGTAATTTACACATTCAGGTGCTACTTTGAGGAAGTCCATGTTAATAAAAATGGAAGGATATTAATTTGCTACTCCACAGAGTTGGATTGATTTTTTCATGCCGAGAATGCAGATATTTTGCAAGATTTAACCTTCACTGGGTTCGCGGAGTGGCAAAATTATTTTTTTTTTTAATAATAAATTCTTTATTTTCTTTAAATAGCTAATTAAAATGGTAAAAAGTATAGCAAAAAGTACAATATACACAGAGTATTTTGACTGCTGGTACTTAAAAAAGAAAACTTGAGCTTAAGTACCAGCATCCTTCCAGTGTCACAGAAGTACATTTTGAGTAATTTACAAAGTTATTTAATACAAGCTACATGTAATGAAATTATTTTATAAAAATAGCAAAAACTTTGAGAAACAATAAAATTAACAAATTGTCAATGTGCGATCTGTCAAGTTCAAAGATTGTAATAATGGTGTGAGATGTATGTGTGTTTTTGTGAGAGTGTGTGTGTAGTGTGTGTGTGAGTGCGTGGATGTGTTTGTGTGTGCGTGTGTGTATGTGTGTGTATGTGAGTTTTCTTGAATGTTTGTAGTATATTAATATATTAATATATATTATTATAAAAATAAATAGATATTTGTCATGTAGTTGTGTTTTTACAAAATAATTATTAACTTTATTTAATTGGATGTAGAAGATTCTCCGTATCATCATATGAGAGTTGGAGAAGCCACCTAGATACAATTTTTTTACAATCATATTTATGTTTTTTGTCAATTGCCAATAGATTATTCACTTTATTATATAAGAAATTTTATTTCCATTTACTTCCATTTGTAGAAATACTGCCGTCCATTAACTAAAATACGGCTAAGTGACAAATGGTCAAAAATTCGTTTTAAATAGCAAAAGACAGAGCACAAAACTCTCTTTTTAAAACAGTCGAAATTAGTTAATATGTTCGACTTACTGGAACTTATCCTAACGATGCAAAGCTGGAATATCATTAAACAATTTCAATATTCTGAAACTGGGTTATGGTTTTTTATGATATCTCAATAAAATATTTTGTCACAGCCGCGTTAGTGGCAGTACTTCCCTTGACGAACTCTTTCACAAGAACTTCTACTGTTACTAAAATTCTAAGCACGTTTGTGAAATGTTTAGTAGCTTACGTAACTTACTTATATCTGCCGCCAAGCAGTAAAGAGAGACTTACAGCGTTCCAGTTTTGAAGCGTAAGGGTGGTGGTGAAATTTTTTTTTTTAATTTATTATTCAATTTACAATTAAACACATATGTACATTTAGATTTTCCGTTCAAAAACCCTTTAATGGGTTTATGCGAAAGGAGTTGAGTCGCAATAACTAAATACTAAGACAAAAATATTATAATTTAAACTAAAAAAATAATATAATATAAGTAAATAAAGTTATGAATTCTGCCCTTTAAATCCACCGAAATAATAACGTTTTACAGCTTGTTTACATTTTTTTACACTTGAAAAAATATCCTCATGAAGCTCTGCTTGTAATTTATTTAGTATGTCAGGCAACATGTAGTTAGCCGCCCTCATACCGTACGTATTAGTGGTTCTAGGCAGTTGATATGTGGGCAGGTAAGTGATGTTGCGTAACCGACCATCTCTGCTCGTTTTCATGATTTGGCCAATCTTGTCAAAGTTGTCCAATAAAATAATCATATTGGACTTCTCAAAAACCGACATCACCTTACAATGTTTGAAGAATTACAGGCACAAGGGACTTATCAACACTTATGTCTCAGGGTTGCGGCGTAGTAGCAATGTTTCTCAGATCTTTGCGGTTT